TTACTTAGATCTTCCACGTGTCGAACAGAAAAGACAGAATCACTTTGCCAACGTTCGCTTTCCAGCCTCTGACCCACGTCCATTGGCCTCACTTCCGATGTCGCTCTTCTCGCGTCTCCTTCATTATGTGCACAGCCCCCGCTTCTCCGAGTCGCTCTTCCCGTAGGCATTGCCTCTAGCTCTGTGTCAGGTTTGCTTGGTTTCCGCGGTCTGCGGCCACGTTTCTTGGCGTTCACGGGCGTTGTCACCTCCAGTAATGGTGCCTGTGATTCCACATCCGTACGTCTCTTCAGTTGACTTCTCGTAAATCTTCTCGGACACATACTTCTATTGGTGATAATGATGGCTTCCGCATGAGCTGTTCTTTCTTTCTCATGCTCACCTAATTATTAAAAAATATTATTATTTATTCTTCTTTTACTAGGGAATTCCCAATAGACGTCAGCGCCTTTTTACAGGGAACCTTAGGTATAATTTGATGGATGAGCGAAATTCAGCTGGTGAACTAGACATGTGGCAAGCCGGTGGAAGTGTATTCCACCTGGCAGCGCCAAAATAAGAAATTGCACTAAAGCCACCTTGTTGCTGTTGTATACTTTATTTATAGTGGAAATTGGAAATCAAAACTGGCATATGCCTACTACTACAGTAACAATGGACTCGCTGAGTTGGTACCAGACCCACACACGACGTGTGTGTGTGTTGTTGTTGTTGTTTTTGTTGTTGTTGTTGTTGTTGTTTTTGTTGTTGTTGTTGTTGTTGAAATTTTATTTTGCATCTCAGACCTAACGGGCAATGGTGCCCAATATTATGATGGCGATAAAGTAACGGCCAAAAGCCAAGGATACAACAAGGAAGGCTCCACGAAAGAGAGAAAAACACAGACTGCGAAGAAAAAGAGAAAGGGAAAAAAAGAAGAAGAAAAAAAAAGTCACGTTACAACGGAAAAAGGAAAAAAAGAACAAAAGACAAAAAACATAACGAAAAAAAAAGCACAGTTGAGTCACGAAATCCAAGCCTAGATGCTGGCTAGCCATAAAAATACACGTGTGTGTGTGTGTGTGTGTGTTTGTGTGTGTGTGTGTGTGTGTGTGTGTGTGTGTGTGTGTGTGTGTGTGTGTGTGTGTGTGTGTGTGTGTGTGTGTGTGTGTGTGTGTGTGTGTGTGTGTGTGTGTGTGTGTGTGTGTGTGCGTGTGCGTGTCTCTCTCTCTCTCTCTCTACGGGGGGGGGGGGGAGATCAATCAGCGATTGACACACCTCCAACCAGGGAGTAGTAATATGGAATTTTACTACTCCCTGCTTCCAACTAATGATGAACTAAGTCCGGGGTGCTGCTTTCTCCAGAATTATCACACTCTTCATTGAACTTAAGGGGGCAGCCTACCCATAAATTTCATATGGCATTCAATTGACCGTAACTTTGGTGTTTCTCAATGGATTTGAGTGAAATTTTGACCACACACTCCTGCCACTATGCTGGCCCTCAGGACATGATTTACAAGTTCTTGCACCTCACTGACAGGCTTTCCAGGCCGGAAAAACTCAAATTTCCGGCATAGTGCCACGGTGTGCAAGCCACCCAGGAGCCAAACAAATCCATTCATAATTTTTTCACATTTTCGTGCCCGTTCTGTCCGTACGCGGGACCCAAACCTAAAACAAGTCCAGAAGCAGCCATGGGTGATGGGGTAGGGCCCCTCAACGAGGCCCTGGAATCTGTCACAACGGAACGAGAGGGCGTTCTCTCATAGACTCACACAGACCCAAGTCAATTTTTGATTTTTTTTAGGTTTAGCACGTGCTACGAGGTCGTACCTTTGATACAACATCCAGTGCTGGGACCTCCACAGCAAGCCATTTCCACAGCGCTGCACACCCAAATCCAGGATACCCTCAGAAACCGGCAAAGACTACCACTCACGTAACGTTCCACTGGCACTACTGCCTAGTACTGAATCCTACCTGACTTCTTGACACGACTCAAACTTGCCAAAGTCACAACGTCAACAGACTGTTTAATAAGAAAGGGTTTGCTCCCCACACCGGAGCTAGCGCTATTCCGCCGACTTTACTTGACACTTGACTGACTCACGACTGCCATCCAGAGCACACGAGAAGTCCATCGAACCTTCGACTCGGCAAACCTGCAAGAAAGCACCACTCCCTGCTCAATACACAGTGTTTCGGGGAATTCACCCCTCATCAGTTGAGCTTGAGTAGGCTGAGGAAGATTGTGCCTGAAGAGCACCACTTATATAGTGCTCTCCAGGTACAAACATCACCAGGGATACAAACTTACAGAGACGCTCCGCTTCTAGCGCGATAAACACCTCGTGAACACCAGATAGCAGCGTGAGTCAGTGTCGCTCCTGGACGGTGAGACCAGACGTTGAGGACCCTCGGTCATTCGCAACGCTGTCACCTCCAAACCAACTAGTCGCAAGCCCGCGCTGGGCACAACAGTACGAAGTAGTGGTTGCGACTTCGGCGATGATTTGTAAGAAAGGGTTTGCTCCCCACACCGGAGCTAGCGCTATTCCGCCGACTTTACTTGACACTTGACTGACTCACGACTGCCATCCAGAGCACACGAGAAGTCCATCGAACCTTCGACTCGGCAAACCTGCAAGAAAGCACCACTCCCTGCTCAATACACAGTGTTTCGGGGAATTCACCCCTCATCAGTTGAGCTTGAGTAGGCTGAGGAAGATTGTGCCTGAAGAGCACCACTTATATAGTGCTCTCCAGGTACAAACATCACCAGGGATACAAACTTACAGAGACGCTCCGCTTCTAGCTTTCTTACAAATCATCGCCGAAGTCGCAACCACTACTTCGTACTGTTGTGCCCAGCGCGGGCTTGCGACTAGTTGGTTTGGAGGTGACAGCGTTGCGAATGACCGAGGGTCCTCAACGTCTGGTCTCACCGTCCAGGAGCGACACTGACTCACGCTGCTATCTGGTGTTCACGAGGTGTTTATCGCGCTAGAAGCGGAGCGTCTCTGTAAGTTTGTATCCCTGGTGATGTTTGTACCTGGAGAGCACTATATAAGTGGTGCTCTTCAGGCACAATCTTCCTCAGCCTACTCAAGCTCAACTGATGAGGGGTGAATTCCCCGAAACACTGCGTATTGAGCAGGGAGTGGTGCTTTCTTGCAGGTTTGCCGAGTCGAAGGTTCGATGGACTTCTCGTGTGCTCTGGATGGCAGTCGTGAGTCAGTCAAGTGTCAAGTAAAGTCGGCGGAATAGCGCTAGCTCCGGTGTGGGGAGCAAACCCTTTCTTACAAATCATCGCCGAAGTCGCAACCACTACTTAGACTGTTTAATACCACAATAATAGGGAGGTTCCGGAGTACGATTTTTTGTGCCAAAATCCGTAGAGGCGCTACGGATTTTTTATACGTCGTTTTCGAGCAGTGAAATGTTCCGGAGTACGAAACTTATGTGTTTGCCGTCATTGCCTAGGTTACGATCGCAAACACGTCACATTCTCGCGCTATGCCTTTTTATTTTGAAAATTTGTACCGAAATCAAAACTTCCCGCGGAAAATCGATGCTTCTCGTACCAAATTTGTACGCGAAAAATCTTTCTGCACCCGATGACGCAAAATCTCCATACGGTACGAAACATGGTTCGTATCAGGGAGTCGTAAAATACCATATTTTTACGACTCCCTGGTTCGTATGAAAGCCAGTCCACACGGATTCTCCGTGCCGAAAAATCGTATGGAGCACGCCTGGAAAAAATCCGTAGCGCCCATACGGATTTTGGCACGGAAAATCGTACCCCGGAACCTCTCTAATCAAGCCACATATCTGCAACGTCACGAGGGTGCTGGCAAAACTCCTGCTGCACGGCGCGGCGGCGGGCTTCGCCGCGGCCGCCGCCGTGCAGCCCAATAGGTGTTTTTTAACGTGATTTTTTGGTCCTTTTTGGACTTCTTTCGCGTGTTTCCATGATACGACAAGTTACGCACGGTCTGCTCACATTCAAAATACAGTGCTGCCAACAAATGAGAGCGTGCAACAAAAAAATCTTTCCTTGCAAGGGCACATTTTCGGCCATAACTCTTGAACGGCTGGTCAGATCGGGACACAATTTTCAGAGAATTTGCAGCTATTCATGCTCTTTCAACTGACGTAGCACTCAATAATATATGAATTTACAAATTCGATTTTTCAGCGAATTTTTGGGTAGTCTGCCACCTTAAAGTCAGATTCTCAACCCTTTTTCCTCTTCATCGTGTTTGATAGTGCAGTAAGGCTTCCTTTGTCATACGTACACTATATTTTCCACAAAAACCGCAAACTGCACTTCAACGTTACTTTCACTCTTCTGCTGGTGTACCCACAAAAGAAAGAACTTCTTCGCCTTTCCACAACCTTCAACGCGACCACTCAACAACTAAAACTACAGTCATCATACAAAACATAGCGCGAACAAACTGCTATGTCTGCCGTGTGTTTTCTATGGACCGTGTTGCTACTTCCACCCATGGCGTGTTTGTATGACTCTTTGCTTCTAAAAAAAAAAAAAAAAAAAAAAAAAAAAACATTTAGAGTTCGATACAAATCATCGGATGTGCTGAGTCTACTGAGGTCTGACGTGATACTGCACAACGGCAGGTACGAAGCAGAGTTGCCCTTGACAAGAAGTTTCATTGTAAAATGGCCAATCAGCAGACAAAATAGTCAACTGCAATTAGGAACATGTAGATTGGTTTCAGATGTTAAAAACATGTGGGTCTGAGCCAGAGAGTAGTGCAATACCTACAGCATGTACTCCCTGCTCTGACAAGGGATTGCTAGTTGCTGCAGTGTGCGATGTGCAGAGTCGCACACGTAATCAGCGGTCCGCGTATTATGGTCTCTCTCGAACCAGCTGAGAACGAAAATCGAAATGTTTGAGGGGGTGCTTTGGCACCCAAAGCACCCCCTTCCCCCCCCCCCCCCCCCCCCTACGCCCCTGCACACACAACTAACCAGAGGTGAACGTATACTGAAGTAGTAGAGGTACAACACCGTCATCTTCATCCAACATATCTACTGCCGTCAATACACGAAAGCACTATGTGAACTGGAAAATAGTACGGAGAGAACTGAAGCGTATAAACAGCAAATTCCTACACAGGATCAAGTGAATGGAGTTTTGTATTTGTCAAGAGGACTGAGGAGTACGATAGGAATTCAGCACCAAGATCAGTTGTCAGGAATCCAGCACCAAGATGGTTTATGTCAAAAATTATAGATGAAATTATTTTTTTAAACAATCTTCTAGAGTGTACATTTCTCACAACGATAAGACTCCACTGTAGTTCTAGAGTGTACAACAGTTGTATCTATATCTACACGGTAGCTGTTAGGCTAGTTCTTCAGTTCAGTTTGCCGGCACGGAGGCGGGCTGCCCGCGTCCTCCAGAATGCACTCGCTACTGCCGACCAGTCCGGAGTCGCAGGACAGAAGGCTGGTGTTGGAGATGCCGCTGTCGACCGACATGGAGGAGCAGCCACGCGATGACGGGGCCGTGCCTTCGTCGCCCACGCAGTAGAACCAGGGTAGGTCGAGGTAGCCGAGCACGTGCTGGGCGCTCACTCGCTCCTCCGGGTTGACGGCCAGCATCTTGCGGAACAGCTCCAGCAGCTGCCAGGAGAAGCGCTCGAACATGGGCGGCACCCACTCGGCGTCCACCTCTTGCCAGTGAACGAACGCCGCGTAGTTGCTGTCCGTCATGCACGCCTTCTTCCACGGGAACATGCCGGTTAGCATGGTGAACAGCGTCACACCTAGCCCCCACACGTCCATTGACGGCGATGCCATGACCGTGGGTTCTTGGGTGCTGCTGGCGCACACCTCCGGTGCTAAGTACGGGATGGTGATCTTGGCCGGCATTATAGCCGTGCCGATCTTGCACGCCATGCCAAAGTCAATCAGCTTGGCGTGGGTCATTGTCAGTCCCATCTGCCTGCGATAGGAGTCTTCTTCGCAGGGCACATTCACCAACACCATGTTCTCTGGTTTGATATCGCGATGTACGTAGCCGCAGTTGTGCACGTGCTGCAGCGCTGAGGCGATCTGGCCCAGGTAGCGGCGCACGCGGACCTGCGACAGTCCGACGCCGGACTTGATGGCGCTGCACAGATCACCGCCATCGGCGTACTCCTGAATCAGCATGCGATGGTTGTCGTTCTCGAATGCCTCCTCGTAGGTCTGAACGATGCTCGGATGGCAGGAGAATAGTCGAGAGAGTTTCCACTCTGCTTCGAACGATTTCCTGTTGTTCTCGGTACGTCGAATCAGCTTGGCCAGCACACGTCGATTAGTTCGTTTGTCTACTGCCAGCCATGTTCGTCCATACGTACCGTCACCCACCTGTCGGATAAAGCTGAAGAACTTGCAGTAGTCGCCCTCCGGGGCCCGCGGTTGCCTTGAACGGTCTGCGTCGACGCGACTGGCAGGCGATGACGAGGCGCGCGAGGCACTCTCGCGCATCTCCACAATATTCATCGCGGCAGGGTAGGACTTAGCCATCGTGGTAGTCATTTCCTCTCAACTAACGTAGAGTCTGATCCAACTTGAGCCAATTCTCGCAGGGAAACGAAAATACTTGGAATCTCAGTTCGTTGGAATCATTGACCAGAACCCCTGAAACTGATTCTGAAAAAAAAGTTCTAATGATAAGAGCGAACAGCAGGTCGACGTAATGGCTCGATTGTTCTGTCAGTCGACACTGTTATTCAAGCACGTACATCTACGCGTTGCTGACTCGGTTGAGCTCTGCCGTATGCTGAGCTGAGCGAAGTGTCGGGGAAGGCTGGCTATGTCTCACACTAGGTGGTGACAAATCACAGGCAATCCACGCAGGTAGTTTGTAGCTGAGAGAGACAGGACTGAGGGGTCAAGGGGAAGCGATATACGTACTTGCGTCGCAACTGTCCGGAAGCCGATCCTCCCAGTCCTACAGCCGATAAGTGATAACTGCACGCCGTTCAACAGTTGCAGACTGACACAACCCAGGCGGCGTCGCACGCTGTATAAACACAAGCCTCTCGATCACCACTGCACTCTACACGAACACGTGGAGTGGCTGAATTGCGCGCGCAGAGCACTCTCTCAGTGTTTACCCAGTCGGTCCAGTTCAGGGGAGATGGGATCCGGGAGCCCTCTCAAGAACAGGTCATCGGTCTTCTGCGCGGCAGCCTGTACGAGAATAGACGTGGCCTGCGGAGGATCTAGAGCTTCTGGAGAGCCTTTTGTTGATAGCACCCGCTTCCTCTGGCTGCGAGACGCGTTCTGCTGGGTTTGTGCAGAGCTGGCAAAGGGTTAAAAACTTCGTCAATTGGAGCACGAGCTGCTTAGCCCAGCTGCAGCTTGGGGATGCATCGGCTCCAGCTCCGTGCTGCTGCTGATGGAGTAAGGATTTTGACAGCAGCAATCAACGAGCAAGGCACTGTCAGTGTCAGCTGAAGCCCACAAGCTGGCTACGCGTCGCACGCGATCAGCAATTATCTACAAGTGCTACCGGTACTCATGCATAATACTAGTACACGTATTATGAGGGAGAGGGTCCTCAGCAAACAGCTCTGGCTGCGAAAACCACGGAGCAGGCTGGCGACGGAACGTGTGACGCCGCACTTTTCTCCACGACAGTCCTCCTACAGCTGTAGCCTTGGTTTGACAGATGTAGATCACTAGATGACATGACACAGGGCTAGGGACTGGACAACGAGGTGAGATCGAGCAAGGAGCAATGTTTCTCCGAAGCCCAGGGTAGCTGTCATTTGTCCGAGGCGCCGGACCTGGAGAATCACGTCCTGGAAATTTACTTTGGAGAATTGCGCACTGGTACACCGGGCCGGGCGTGGGACTGGATTCGTTCAAGTGAGGCTTTGGCTGCTTCCTTCTAGTAGATACTACAGCAATTATTTCCTGTTCGCTAGCTGCGCGACCTTGGAGAGTCAGTTTAGTTTAGATGTACATGTACATTGATCGTGAGTCAGTATGCATGTTTCACAGCGAGGCACTGGTGCCACTACTGTCTACTGAGTCTGTACACGCACTGTGTGGCGAGTGTGTGAGAATGTGAGAGCATGCGGGTGGTGTGTATGTGTGTGACAGTCAACAGATACTACTACTAGTCACTTGGCTGACAATCTGGTATCTTCACAGCAAAACCGTGGAAGCCAACGCTCAGCGACATATCGACATGTACATCTCCTGTCCTTCGCTGTTACTTGTTAGTCGTGTTCCCACCGCAACGGTGAGCTCGCACGCCCTCTGGCTCAACGTTAGAGCATTGCGGGTCTCTGTGTGCGTAACGTGGTGTGTGTTTGCTGACAAGAAGGAATTCAGCTTCCCAGGGAAGCAAGCAGAAATCTTTGCCCAGCACCCTATCGCGAAATACTTCAAATACTACTTGTAGTAGTAGCCAGCAGCTCAACAAATCAATTGAATGTCTAGTTCTGCACTGTGCATGTGTGAGATGCATGACCAGTGTTGGCTGTCATATTATTATTTTACGTCCTCACAACGTATTGGGACTCGGAGCTTCGAATCAGATGCAAACAGTGAAGGAAGTGAACTGCTAGAAAAGCGAAAAATGCAAACCCTTCAACAAGGGTGCGGCGTGGTCATATGCTACATGTAGGCCCTAGGTCATAGTGAAACATTTCAAAAGCGCGTGTTGTAGAACTGGAAACGCTACATGCTGCTTTGGCCCAGTTTGGGTATGCTCCCTGTCTGGTGTCCATCCGTTATCTTAGGATTCATAAAGCGCATATCGAGGGGGTTTCCATAAACACCACAGCTGTATAAAAAGTGACGAATAATAGCTGAGCAAATAAAGGGAGAATGAAGTAGTATAGAGCGGAGCTCTGAGCTTGAAAGTATGCACGTACACGTACATGTACACGTACACGTACACGTACATGACTGTACAAGTACATGTACGTGCATAATTTATACATGTATGCGTGTTTAAAAACACGAAGCAGAACGAAATGAATGCTGGGGAATACCTGCTGCGTTTCCAACGTGGTCATGAAACAGTTATCATTACACACGGCAGTATGACGCCGCTCTAACAACCCTCCGTACTCCCACATTCAACGGAGGAATGGAATTCATTGGGGAAGGAGAGAATGCCGGTGAAGGTAAACTAAAGACGCCTCCTGATAAGTGGACACGCACTGCATGCAGTGTCCGGACTCGTCATGAAGCCGAAAAAATAGAATTAGTTTTGAAGAACTCTCATCAGCTTGTCCCACTGCGTGCGTATTGGCACTGGAGGGCTGCTGTGTAGGTGGTACTTTAGTAATAATGATTGCATTGTATTGATACCCTATTTCAGTATTTGCATCTGTAGTAAACACACTTACATGCAGGTACCTGTGATTGCACATACATGATTGCACATACATGATTGATGTACAGTGTGTTGTGTTATCCAGTACTGGTTAACTCTTGTTCTCGTGCTATCTCTCTTGACCACGTTATTAGCACAATCATACATTATACATGTACATGATCGTATCTAAATAGGTCGTAGTCTCCGACTAGTACAAACACGCGTACATTGGAACCGCGGTCAGCACTACCGTCGTGTGTTTCACAAGGCGTTCCGAAAGATGCCTCAAGTGCTCCCAATTTGCCACTTCATCGTGCCAGTTGCTTCATTGCTCTGCGCTGCAGCCGACGCTGGCTGCCAAGTGCTGCTTGGAACCACGACTTGAAGAGAGTCACAGCCAAACTCGGTGTCCATAGAGTGAAGGATATTGTGCGTCTACACACCAGTACATGTTCAACGTTGTTCTAGTGGTTTATTATGTGTCAGTGCTACTACTAGTACCACTCACTGATGCGGAGGTGTTCCAGGGATCAGTGGGCATCATAATGTATAATAATTATGTTGAAGTGTCGCGATCAGCAATACCTAATTTGCCCTCGTTCTTCCAACAACCGCTTTCCCTTCATTAGCCTGATTTCCTCCAGAGCACTAGAAGCTCTCTGTGTATTAATTGAGTGTAGCAAGAGCTGAGCGTCAGGATCAGTTTCCACGTGATAATTGCTAACACTTTTGGCCCAGGAAAAGGGCATTGTCTGAGGTGGCTTTCCCACATGAGGACAACATTGCGTAAGGCACTTCTCCAAGTTCGCGTCGAACCTGCCAGATGGTCGAAGATGCTTGAAGAGCTGCAGTGTGAATGAATGCCGGCTCCGTGTCTGAAACAGTGTCGATAGTTCTACTGGAAGTGGTTGGCTTTGCGGGTTGGTGTCAGGGCTTAGGAGCACAGTCCATGCACACGCATCTTCGGTGAGAAGTGAGCGTGTCTGCATCTCCTCTTTGGTGGGTACAGAACTGCAGCGTGTTGCTCTGCTGTGCCACAGAGTTCAAGACACCATCATTATGATTATGTATTCATATTCCACTAAGGCAGGCCCCAACAAGCGGTTTGCCTTCTGACGGGGTACCCTAACCAATATAAGATACCATGACGGAATATGGACAATGATGAAGTGGAGTGAACAGCGGGTGGAGGGCTATTCCACCTATTGGGGGGGGGGGGGGGGCAAGAAAAAGAGAGGGACACGTGTAGACAGAGCCATAGCTAGCGCGAGGTGACATATTGGGGACCAGAACAGAGAGGGCTACGTGTACACAGACTACAGTCTAGAGCCATAGCGTGAGGTGACATTGGGGATGTAATGCATGGCTATGTTTGGTCTCAGCATCGCTCTCAATATGAACGAAACCCAGTGAAATTGGATCCCCTGTCTTATCTCCTCTCAGTGCCACACCAAGAGTATTAGGTAATGTAACCAATTAATAGTCATGTGCACTGCTCTTGCTGTTTCATTGTCACACCACCAGGGCCTGGCTACATGACCTGATTGATGTATTGGCAGGTGAATCAAGTGTCTGATATCACGGTGCTCGAATGGCTTGCTGTTTGCTCAAGATTAATCCATGCTCTGAGATTACCAGCCGTGTTTGAGTATGGAGTGGCATCACAACTACACGTGGCATTACATTGTATGTCACAAGCACTGGTTTTCCAATCAATACAAAGCATAACGCATAACCAGGTTATAACACTCTTTGATAATTAATTCTGATGCAGTTGCGTGATGTACACCACTTTCTTTGATAATAAATAATAAATACTATTACAGCTTGCTGTCTACAGCATTGGGTAATTAATACTATTAGATGTACCCTGTATTAAGAGATGGTGAAATTCGCACAGCAAAGCTTTACCTTGTAGCACGCACGATGTGGAATACGTCAGAAACATGTGGGGCCGGTGCAGTGTACATGAACATGATGCAATAATGCTATAGTGGCGTTGCAGATTTCACCACGAAGACGATCCGTGAAGAAACAGTGCAAGTACAATCATGCACATGTAATCAGTTGCCAACCGCACGCAGAGAAAGGAATGCATTTCACACACTGTGTAAAGCAGGCACGGAATGAGCTGTTAGTGTTAGTTATGCTGAAGCGGAGCACAATATGTACATGATGTTAAATTCACCATTTTGATTGCCCTCCGCGCACGACTCGATGCTCACCGAGAACCCGTAAGTAAAGTGATTTTTAATTATATCTGCCTCGAAACGTCGGCTACGCGTGGACAAAGTGGCACACAATGGCCGCAGTTTGCAGTTCTGCTCTGCAAGACGGTCTGAGGCCAGTCTCTGAAAACCTGAAGGCCATGATTGTCCTTCAGGACACGGAAGCCTGAAACGAATTCCCAGCATTCGCATGATTCGCATTAGATACGTTCATGCATTTGTTCCTTACCTGATTGATTGGTGTGATCGTTGGAGCAAGTGCAATGCGGAATGTCAGTTGTGATAAGTTAAGTGTGCATCGACGCATTTATATACAGTATAGTTGTATGGGACGTTACATATATACAGACGCCTCGAGGTCCGGAGCACCACGCAAAAATCCTGTACCAAAGCACGGCGCCACGCTGCAGGGTATCTGCCAAGCGGCTCTATACCCTTCCTACGCCGCTATCTGGATGTGGGAAGAATGCATGACATATGTGCGCAAACTGCAGCGACATTGTTCAGCAGCCACAGGGAAGCCTTCATGCGTTCTTGGGTTCAATCATTGACGGTCAGGTTGGACATGGCTCTCCGGTGAACACAGGCCAACTGTTCGCTTCAACTGCTGATACAGAACTGTGAGTGGTCAGGTACCAGAACGACCCCTGTGGAACGATCCACGTAACACAAGCGCGCCACAGGCAGCCATTGCTGATCTCAAGGACAACCTTGAACTTAGGTTAAAGTGCGAACGGCATCGATA